TTGTGTTTAAATGAAGAATGGAAAAAACGTCTGTTTCCCGCTCACTTGACTTCCATGCCGGATTTTGCACCGCGTACGGACTGAACCAGGACTGATCCAGGTCTGGGACCACACTGGGACCAGAGCGGGTCCAGACTGGGACCAGAGCGGGACCAGGGCGGATTCTGAGCTTTGATTCTGAGCCTCCGCGGGGTCCGAACCACAGCTTTGATCTTCGGTCCTGCCGTGGGCTCTGAGCCTCCGGTCTGGTCCCGGCCTGGTCTCAGTCTCAGTCCCGGTCTCAGTCTCGGTCTGGCCCTGGCCTAGTCCCAGCCTGGTCTCGGTCTCAGTCCCGCTCTGGTCCCGGTCTGGTCCTGGACCTGGTTCGGTCCTGGTTCAGTCCGTACGTGGTGCAAAAGTCTGGCATCGCAGTCACGGAAGTCACGTAAACGGGAAACGGCCGTTATCCATTTTTTCCATTCTTCATTTAAACACAAAATTGAAAACTGAAAAAAACGAATCGTTATCAGTTTTTTCATTTTGGTTTTGGAGACAAATAATGAAGACAGCAATTGTTTTTTCGTTTTCTTATTTTTGGTTTTATATTGAAAAACGAATGAACGAATGATACACGGATTGATAGTAGCTATAACGTTGATTTATACTTAATGATAAAAACATTGGACATGGACATTGGTTCTCATGATGACTTTGTTAGTTACTCTATATATTTCAAACCTGCACATACAATTCACTTCACAATTCACAACATAAGTTTAGAGACACAGAAGCAAACATGCAGAGTTTGAAAAGGGAATGGATGAAACTAGTATATACACGACGACACAAACAAAACATCCACACACTCATCAGACACCACACTGGCCCTCTGACCCTACACCTCCCTCCCCCTAACCTCACTTTCTGTGCTCATCACTGTCTCTTCTCCAGGTATTTTTTCATTGTTTGTCTTTTAAATAGTTTAGTTCTTCAGATAATCCATTCCACAGATGAGCTCCATGTACTGAGATGCACATTGATTTTAAAGTTGTTTTAAATTTTGGCTGATAAAATTTGTTATTACCTCTAAGTTCGTAGTTAGGATGAGCATTTCGATCTTGAAATAAATCATTTAAATTTGCTGGAAGAGAGTTGATAGATGCCATGAATGTAATTTGAAAAAGTTTAAAGTTTTAAGTCTTATGATTTTAAAAACAGGATTTGTTGGATTGGACTATAAAGTCAGAAAGCTGAATGAGCCTTGCATCAGTCTCTCATTTGGGTTGCCAGTTTCAATGCAGAAATCCAGTTGGTTTAAACCTTAAATGCCTCCCTCCCTAAACCCCAGAACCTGTCAGTGCGAGTGCAGCCCCTGCAGCTTAGGGAGGGAATTCTGGAGGATCTGAGCTTCACATGAGGCCTGTTCTGTCCATGTATTGAGAATGAGACAAATGTGTATGTGTCTCTATCTGCAGGTTAAGGCTCTGGCAACACAGGCTCAGTTGTGATTGTAATACTTTTTTTTCAAACCGTAAGACGGCAGGCTATGTACAGCTACTTTAAAAACACGGTGGAGCAACCTGAAAAAGGACTGAACTCTCTTGAATACAGTGGCGAAATCCGTGAAGTAGTCAGCTTTATTTTTTTTACAATTTTTATATCTGTAAAACCCCTCACCACACACTTTATACACTTTTCTCACACAGGACAGTTACAATCCTTTTTGCATCCTTCTTAAAACTTACAGCTGCTGTCGTCCTTAAGTTATTTTCCTCCTTCTTTATGTAACGAACAGAAGATTAATTTATTCTACAATGCACTACACCCGCGTAACTTCTACCTTCCTTCAGCGTGTCCAGAAGTCCAACTTTTTGTGCGATAGTTAGTATCTTCCTTTTAGGTGCGACCGCAGGAGCCTTTGTCGGTGCAGAACGTTTCGTCGACATTGTGGGTTTTGTCGAGGAGAAAACTTGCAAACATACAGCACTTCAGAATCACACTGCTAGAGATCCAGCATTTATGTAAAATTGTCAAACTGAATGCATTCTGTACTGTACAGGAAACACGACACTGAGCAGACTGATTGACAATGATCTACAAGTCCCTTAGCCAATCACTGTACCTGATTATTATTGTTCTGAAAACATGAAAAAACAAAACTATTTCATTTTAAACGGCTTGCAGTGGTCCAAATGCATTCTTCACTTACCTAATTATTCACCACAATGAGTTTATAAGAGCTTTTCAGAACTTTCAGACAGATTTTGCTCAAATACATGAACAAAATGGGTACAGGCTCATTGTGACCAACCGTCCTCAGACCATATGTGCTCTTCATGTGTACCTCCTTGTTCTTTGGCCAGCGCGTCACACTTAATGTCATTTGAATGTTGCTTCCTGTGTGCCCATTACTGTCCATGACCCAGCTGTTGAATTGTGCCCCTCTGTGCGTTAGATTCGTTTAGCTCTGCTGCTCCCGCGACCGTCCTGTTTGATCGGGTTAGCGCTTTGCTACTCACCTCCTTCCTGCCCATCTGCAAGTCCCATTTGTCTCTACAGGGAGCAGTCACGTGTTCAGAAAGGTGAAAGGTGAAAGGGTGGAACGATACGCTGAAGACTTCATATATTAGAGCCTAGATCGCAGTTTTGATTTGGATTCACTTACACTTAGTATTGTACAGGGACACTATAAAGCCATCTCCTGCTATTTGGGGTTCATACTTCACTTCACTTCGCACACAATGGGCTCTGTTCACGCTGACATCACTAAACCAGAAGACGTTTGGAAACATGCGGACGACGACTTCCTTCGCGCTCTGTTTGTGGTAGTAACTCTGACAAAATCTGGGAAAACTGAGAAAATGGCTCGGTTTTCTTTATCTCGATGTCATTTATATTCTTTTCCTTTCATAAATTGCCCAACTTAATAAAAAAGAAACAAGATGGCATAACATTCCGTTATGTTCAGAAGATCAACAATTACAACTAGCTGTCTGTAAGTGAGATCGATGCTGTGATCAGAGCTTTGTCAGGTTGTGGAGACGCTGCTGCTGAATCCATGGTTTTATCACGAGCCCGGTGTCGGTAACTACACCAAAAGTCGTCATCCATTTTTCTAAATGTCTCCCGGTAAGCATGAATAGAGCCTGGATGCACTGATACTGAAAAAGTAGCTTTATTGAGTATCGGTTAAGATGATATTGTGATTAGGCCTTTAATTCAATGAAATCATTTTATCTACTGGCTGATTTTGAATCCAAAACATCTCATACAGTTTGAACTTTTATTCATACAAAGTTGCCCTGTAATTATTTGAAGAATAAATAATTGTTAAATAACACAATTGGATCTCTTGTATAATCAGTTAACTTGCGTCACATTACAGTTCAGATCTGTGGAAAGTCGTCCCTATTCACAGAAGGAATTATTCAGCTCAGTTGGTAGAGCGTTTGTCCACTGAAGGTCTGGCGGTTTGAATCTTGCTCTCGACATTTAGAAAAAAAAAAAATAATAACTGATTGAGAGGTGTGATTCCAGCTCCCACAAATGAATGCTGTCATTGTTTGGTTGAGCAAGACACTTAACCCACCTCGCCCCCAGTGTCTGTGTACACTGGTGTGTGAATGTTTGAGTGGTTCCTTCTTGTAAAGCCCTTTGAGAGTCGTGAAGGTGAAAAGGCACTGTATAAAAATGTGATCATTTACCATTTATTGTATTTTTGAGCAACAGAAACACTTGTAATAAATAAATCATGGATGGATATGTTTAATGTCATACTATGGAACATTCCAGGCAAAGCAATAACTTCTCCGTGCAGACAACATGCTGGCGGACCCTCCATCAGAAAAGTTGTATAGGTCCTATATTACACCAAATTGACTCTTGTGAGCTTTTAGTCACGTCATAATGCTGTTACCTCCGCAAAAAAACAGACCTGGAGTTGTGTTTTGTTTCATTCACACATGTTTGAGTAACACTTTATTATTAGTCTGTGCATCTCCAAAGCTCAAAATGCTCTGTTCCACCTTGTGATGTCATGTAGTTGTAGTTTTCAAGATAATAGTTTTTACTAGGGATGTAACAATAACCGAAATATCGTGACATTGTATCACCAAAAGTGCTATACAATAATATCGTGGACTGTCACAATATATCAAATTACAAATTTCTTTGCTTAAATGCATTGTTTTATAGTAGGAACAGCTTATAAACTTAGAGAACTACATATCCCGTGGTTCATTTTAGTGCAAACATCATGAAGAAATATGTTTTTTACTTTGATATTTTGGATTATGACGGAAATAATTCACACCAAATCATCTTGTCAAGGTATTTTAAAACCCAAAGAGTGTCCTTTCTACAATTAAATCAGCCCCTCCAAAATATCGCAATAAATATCGTACCATACTGTGAGAAGCATATCGTGATCATATCATACCGAGAGATTTGGATATCGTTACATCCCTGCGTTTTACTTTTAGTTCAGTAGAGATCGGCAAATCCAGGGCTGAAATCACCTCAAATCATTGTAGTAAATGTATCTAGAGTTTAAAAACACAGTGGAGCACTTCCTGTATTGCCACATGACATCACAAAGCAGAACAGAGTGGTTGGGTTTGTGCGTTAAACATGTGCGAATGAAACAAAACACAACTCCAGCGATGATTGCGACGAGGAAACATATTAACGCAATATGGCTCCTTTAAGTACAGTACTACTTTTACTTCATTACGTTCCAACACTGCTGAATTATGAACTGCCAGACCAGAACCAGAAGCAAAAAACGCTGCTTGAAACAATATTGCGATTGCCTGTATATTGAGTCACCCAGGAGACTTGATTAGCTCTGGAGAATGCATGAACATGTAAAACACACTCGCTGTAATTGTCTGCATAATGTGGCCTTTCTAGCTCGGAGCACATATTAAAAACCTGCGCGGTAAGCTGGATTCTTAATGACCCTGTGCCGGTAGCATGTACGTTGTAATGTTTAACACGTACTTTGTATATTGTGTTCGCAGGATGCTGGAGTACTCCCTGAACCTGCAGAACGTGAGCCTGTCCGCGGTGAGGACGGTGCGCGTGCTCAGACCACTGCGAGCCATCAACAGAGTGCCAAGTGAGTACAAAAAAACACAGTGAACTAAATTATAATGGGGTTTTTATCGTCGGCGAACCAGGACGTGCACTGTTAACATGATAGTTGTTGTTAGCATTACCTTGATAACAAAACAACACCCTGTTCTCTGAAAGTTGCAGACATGTTTAGGGTCAAAATGAGAAGCTGTGTAATTATAATGGGTATTATAATGGGACGTGCACTGTTAGCATGATAGTTGTTGTTTGACAAGCAACCTCTGTTCTCTGGAAGTTGTGGAAATGTTTAGGGTCAAAATGATAATGCTATCTAATTATAATGGGAATTATAATGGAAAGTGCACGGTTAGCATGCTAGTTGTTGTTTGGATTACCGTGACAATAAAACAACACTTTGTTCTCTGGAAGTTGTGGAAATGTTAAGGGTCAAAATTTGAATGATATTTAATTATAATGGGAAGTGCACTGTTAGCATGCTAGTTGTCGTTTGCATTACTGTGACAACAAAACTGTGCCCTGTTCTCTGGAAGTTGTGGAAATGCTTCAGGTCAAAATGAGAATGCAATCTAATTATGATGGGTAGTACAATGGGACGTGCACTGTTAGCATGCTAGTTGTTGTTTGCATTAACGTGATAACAAAACAACACTCTGTTCTCTGGAAGTTGTGGAAATATTAAGGGTCAAAATGAGAATGCTGTGTAATTATAATGGGATGTGCACTGTTAGCATGCTAGTTGTCATTTGCATTACTGTGACAACAAAACTGCTCTGTTTTCTGGAAGTTGTCGAAATGCTTTGCGTCAAAATGAGAACGCAATCTAATTATAATGGGTATTATAATGGGAAGTGCACTGTTAGCTTGCTAGTTGTTGTTAGCATTACCACTGCAACAAAACAACGCTTTGTTCTCTTGAAGTTATGGAAATGTTTAAGGTTAAAAGGAGAATGCTATCTAATTATAATGGGTATTATAATGGGATGTGCACTATTAGGATGCTAGTTGTTTTTTAGGATCACCGTATCAATAAATACTTAGGGTCAAAATGAGACCACTGTCTAATTAAGGATGTGCAGTGTGCATGTGCTAGATTGTTGGTATTATTACTACGACGGCAAAACTATGCTCTGATCTTTAAAAGTTTTTACAGTTTTTAGGGTAAAAATGCAACGGCTTGTTTAATGTTAATGGGTATTATAATGGGATGTGTACTGTTAGCATCCTAGTTGTTGCTGGCATTAATATGATGGCAAAAATATGCTCTGATTTCTAAACTTTTTACATTTTTAGGGTCAAAATTCAACCGCTGTCTAATTATTATGGGTATTGTAATGGGATGTGCACTGTTAGCATCCTAGTTGTTGTTGCATTACCATGACAGCAAATCTATGCTCCGCTCTCTAAAAGTTTTGACATTTTTTTGCGTAAAAATGCAATGATAATGGGTATTATAATGGGATGTGCACTGTTAGGATCGTAGTTGTTGGCATTACCATGATGGCAAAACTATGCTTTGATCTCTAAAAGTTTTGAATTTAAAAAAAAATTTTTTTTTTTGCGACTGGTCTAATTATTATGGGTATTGTAATGGGACGTGCACTGTTAGCATGCTTGTTGTTGTTTTTTGGAAGATGTGGAAATATCTATGCTGTTTAAAATTGGTTTTATCGACTGCGAACCAGTATGTGCACTGTTAGCATGCTAGTTGTTTCAAATGAAATAGAAAATGCACATCAAGTTCTTGTAGAGGTGCAAATGCAAAAAAAAAAAAGTAAAATAAAAGTGAAAAAATTTATAGCACACCCAAATGGCCGATGTCGAAAATCTTTTTTTTTTTTTTATTTTAAAATTACGTTTCAGCAAAAAAAAGCCTTGGTCAGATATTTTTCTTGCTTTGGTCCACTGTGGACATAAAAATCATTATATGCAACCTGCAACTTCTTAAATTTAGTTTTACTGTAACTGCACCACAAGTGAAGGTCTAATTTGTCAGAAAAATTCCTTCGCTGTATTGTAAATTTTTGGTGTTGATTACTTACAGCTACTTCCTGTATTTTTGCAATTTTCGTTTCAAGTTTTGTCCCACAAACTTCCTCTTAACTGATGCAAGACTGCGATAAACTTTGACCACAGTTAGTATCCCACCACACTGTGAAAAAAACAAAAAAGAAACCAAAACAAAACATGAAAATCTGCTATATACAGCTGCATTGTGTAACATTTCCAGTGGAGGATCCCTCAAATGGTTTTCTCCGTGAAGATGTTATTGCTTTGTCTGGAATGGTTCACAGTATGGCATTAAACTAAACTAAACAAAATGTATGTCTTAATGAAGACCAAACCAGAAGTTACTGGTCAGATCTGTGGAGAAGCGACCCCACTTAGAGTCAGAATGCCTGTTTTTCTAGGCATTTTTGAGCTATAAAACCACCTGTAATTGAATAAATAAACCATATTTTTTGGATTATAAGGCGCAGTATCAGTAATGTTGAATTCTCTCATCTATTCTCATACATAAGGCGCACCAGATTATAAAGTGCATTAAGTGAAACAAACAGACGACACTTGAGACTGATCCTTAGCCCAGACGTCCATGATCCATCGGCAGATCGTGGCATAACTCGCCCAATGTAGCCTCCCTGTCTTCGTGAATGTGTTTTATGAATGTGAATGTGGATCGATAATTTAAGTTTTTTTTTTTTTCCTATGAGAATGACTCAAATATACATTGAGTAATAATGTGTTTAATGCAGCTTTGTGCACATTTGTTTACGTTTTACAGAAACAAAACGTAAAACCACATGGCTCATTTGCATAAACTATAAGCGCTGAAAAAAACAGCTCGCTCTTTGTGCACTGATACGGTTCAGATTCTGTCGGACTAAAGGACACGACTCAGTGGAATATAAGTGTTCTGTCTGTGTCAGAGGGATGTGCCGCTAATGGTTTTTATTACAGGTCCACGCCTTTACTCCACGAGGCTCCTGACTACGGTTGTCGCAATGCTTCGACAATCCATCAAGAGGTGCAGCTTACCAAAGTCATACTAAAACATTTTGACAGATTTGAGCGCCGTGTACCGCATAAAATCGGTTCGAGGTCAGTAAGCACAACCACAATTAATACATAAGGCGCACTGTCCATTTTTGAGAAAACTAAAATATTTCAAGTGCACCTTATAGTCCATATATACAATAAAGTAGAGCTGTTTAATGTGATACTGTTGAAAATTCTAAGCAGAGAGACGATATAGCCATAAAAAAACAAGCAGGTACGGACCCTCCATCAGAAAAAGTTACAGAATTCAACTCTAACACCAAAAAACTACAGATGAAGTCATGTTACTTCCACAGTACTGTTTTCTCGCTCACTCCACATGTTGAATAGTGCCCCTCCTTTTCCGTCTCACATCGTTTTTTCATCCGTCTCCATTAGGTTTTAATCAGGCTGGATTGGATTTCCGCTGCACACTTTCATGTTTAAATAAATGATGAGCGTTCCCCCCTCAGATGCTAGCTGGTCCATTTAGATTTGACTATACTCCCGCCATAGATCAGGCCCGGCTAACGTTTTAATTGTGCCATTCTAGCTCCATCGCTCAAAGCTTATCCGATATAACGTATTAACCCCACAGCGGGAGGAATTATGTGCGCAAATGAAGGACTACGGAACAACTGGACAACATTACAGTACTTTAGATGAACAGATCGAGTCAGCTAAGAGGTATTCTCAGATGACACAATTCACACGTTAAAAACTGCAGTGGCTAGGAGTAAAAGTAGTAGGAGTGGTAGCGATCGTAGTACATAGTTATGGTTAAGGTAAATGTATTGATAAAGCATTGTCGTATCAGCTTAAAACACATATTGTAGTGTTACTTTTTGGAAACTATTGGATAATACAGCCCCAAACTAAAACAAGACAACATGGTGAAACATTCAGAAAAGTTTTAATTGTTCCACGGATCTGACTAGTAACTTGTCCGAATGCCATACAAGTGACTTTAAACAGTAAAATGTTGTGGTAATTTTGGGATTGACTAAAAATGAAGGCCACGTTTAACCAAATCAACAGGTTGCGTTCACACATAAATAATTTCACACCAAGTGCAGTGATCATACCTGGAGTTGTGTAGTTTCAGTCACACATGTTTAACACACAAATCTTCTCTTCTTCTCTCCAACAGAAAACACTCTGTTCCATCTTGTGATGCCATGTGGAAATACAGGAAGTGTTGCACTATGGTTTTAAACTCCATCCACCTTCACTAGAGTCATTTAGATAAATTCAGCCCTGGAATCTCAAGTCTCTACTGAACAAGTGGTGAAAGGTACCAGCTAATTTGAAAACCACTGCTTCATGACATCACAGGGTGGAACAGAGAATTGAGCTTTGGAGATGTGGAGAGACTAATAATAAAGGATTTCTCAAACGTGTATGAATGAAACAAAACACACCTTTATTACCTCCTGTAAGCCTTTTTGACCTATATTACTGTTTATTACCCTGTGTTCCCACATCCTATTTTCCTTCTTTTTTTTTTTCCCGAAACTTTAAAAACTTAGGTCCTATGTTCCCACAGCTCTATGTTCCATCAGTTCTACATTTCCTCAGCCCTGTGTTCCCTCAGATTTTTCTTATTTCTAAGATTTTTCTCAAAATGGAACTCTAATTCAAGTCATTTTTATTTTTATAACACATTTAAAGGGATGACATTTCAACTTATAGGATCCTTTGCATCATGATGTCTACATTACATCTGTAGTCAACTGCTGCTGGAGAATAGGCTGTAGTTGTAGGGTGTAGTTGACAAATTGGGAGAAATGGGGATAAAACCTGATGTAAATTGTTGATAAAGGAAATGTGGGAACATAGGGCTTAATTTTTTGGGGGGGAAATATATATATATATATAAAAAAAAAACTTAGAAATGAGTAAACATAAGGCTGTGGGAACATAGGACTGTGGAAACATCGAGCTGTGGGAACATAAAGCTGTGGGGACAGAGGCATGCTTCCAGGA